TTTGAGAAGAAATTCAGGAAACGTATTCCTACCATCTTCTGGAATTACCTTTGCTAGCTTCTGCATTTCTTCAAATGTCAGGAAACCATATACTGTAGAACAGTGTTGTCCAAACTTGGCCACTTTAAGATGAGTGGACTTCAACTCCCAGAATTCCCCCAGCCCCACCCATGCTGGCTGGGGAATTCTGGGAGTTGAAGTCTACTAATCTTAAAGTGGCCAAGTTTGGACAACACTGTTCTACAGTATATGGTTTCCTGACATTTGAAGAAATGCAGAAGCTAGCAAAGGTAATTCCAGAAGATGGTAGGAATACGTTTCCTGAATTTCTTCTCAAACATTAGACTTCCCAGAAAGAACAGTTACCCAAGTGACTACCTTATCTGGAACCCAACCAATTAAGCTCTTTCTTTTTTCCATGTCAGTTATTTCCTGAGGGGAGATTCAAACAATGCTTTATGTTAGCAAAAAATGAAGATATGGAGAAAATGTGAAGAAGTGACATTACCATTATAGAATATGAAAAAAGCGTAGAGCATAAAACATGCTACTGCCAGTGGATAGCAAGTTCAAATCCAGTATCAACAGAAGGAAAGCACAGGTGGGGCCCTGATTCCAGAGTCTGGATTGTGTGCCTAACTGCCCTTCCAATCAAGTTCATAGATTGATGTGACACCCCATGATGGGTCATGGAATGGATGAACATCACAGCCTATGAATTGTCTCTGGCTGCGGTATAGCATAATTATATCTACCACCATGGCAGGGAGGAGGGCAAATTACAAATTTGTACTCTGCCCAAAGCAATAATACTTGGGTCCTGACCAGGTTATTGCTGAGGGCTCTAGTTACATCCTGTGCTTAGACTGGAGGCAATGTGATGAACAGTCAACGGGCTAATTCAAATAGTGCAGCTGGATGTAAACTCTCTGGATCTAACACCATAGTATTTTATATCTGAAGAGAGCTCAAGATTGAGTATATGTTTCTCCTAGAGAAAGAATATGACTGGATTTACACATCACATTAAACCGTACAGTAGTCTGCTCAACTATTATTTACTGAATAAATCAGAGTGACAAATCACATTATGATGAGCAAACTGGGTTCTTCTAACGTACAAAGCCTATTAATACTTGGAAGCTGAATACTCTGTTCATCATTAGAGGGCCAGCATTTTTTTATTTTTTGTTTAATGTTAATTCAATTTACCTATAGAAACTGAGCTTCAGTAAGAACATCTGACAAAGCACACTGGACTCTCACAACCTCTAGTAGGGACTGAGCAATTTTTAGCCATGAAATGTGTAGCTTTTTGAGTAGCACATCCCTAACCAGGGGGAATTAGCAAACAGATGCCACCAGTTTTGACATGTGTGTAACTTATACAGATCAAAACACCTGCTAGCATAATTATAAATTCTGATCTCCTATACACAAATATAAAAAATGGAATTTCTTAGGAAGAATCAGAAAGACGCATACTTAAACTCAAATATCATTTGAGTCAGATCGCTTTGGATCTCTTCCTGCTGAAATTCAGTTTTCTCTGACTCACCCCACACAAACACACTAATGCCCATTGTTAATGCTGAAAACATTTAAACAGAAATTTCTATCTTCTTTATATTTCTTGAAAGCTGTTGTGATTTTTTTTTACAATGGAAGGTAAAAGTTTCCTTTTTGCATTAAAATTATGACTGTGGACTATGTGAGGCAATCATTTTCCTCCCCCATCACTAGAAAAGTTTAAATAATATTTTTAGCCTCAACTGCTTACCAATGCCAGGAAGCAAATATAGAAGGAAATTAAAATATATCTCCAGAGTTTGATTTGTTCTAAGCAGCAGCAGAAGATATCAACACAAGTGTATTCCAAACTTAAAGTGAATTGATATCCTCTATTCAAAATGTAGAATTAGACTTGGTATTGTTCTTCTACAGGCTGGTGGTGGGTTTTTTGTTGTTGTTGATTGGGGGGGTGAAGTTTGTGCTCACTGGAAAGCACCCTTTTTGCTGCACTGATTAGATAGTGAAAATCAGACAGAGTACTTGCTTCTTGTCTGAATCTGAGTGCCATCTCCAAGGACGGACATATGGGAGTTAGTGGAGCGGGAGGGGGGAGAGAGAGAACCCAGCAGCTGTGTAAAGGTGCAATAGAGCAAACTTTCCATGCAGCTTTGAGGAACTGACAGCAAAAAGCCCTAATTTCAGATGGAAATGTGGCAGCGTCTCCATCGGAAAGCAGGAGTGTAAAGGATTTGCACATTTTGAGCTACTAGTTGGAACACATGCCCAGGTTTGGTTGCTAAGTGACACAGTTTAGGACTGAGCTTCAACACATGGCTTTCCTGTCACAGAGAGGGCGGTGTTTGACTGTGTCTTGGCTTGCCTTCTAAAAGCGCAAAAAGTCATTGACTGATTCCTCTGAGTAAGAGGATGCTGGTGGTTTGTGCTCTGTGATATGCATTTTGCACTTTAAGAAACCAAATCCTATTCGAGTCAAACTGACTTAGCTCATGCAAATTGGAAATTCATAGCATGGGAATGTAAGCATGTTTCTTTTGTATATAGCAGGGCCTCAGTGACTAAACTGCGAGAAAATTCTTCTCTGTGAAGGTATGGTGGGAAAGATCACTTTCCTTCCATTCAGAGAAACTAACCCAAGGGTGCTCACAAGCTACTTTCTTCCTGACGTTGAAATTCTAACAGTGTTGGAATCTGGTACAATGCTGAATAATGTCCTCAGTTTGTAATATTGTGTGGTGGAAAGAGAAACTCTGAGAAAACGTGATTGCCATGTAGGATCACAGCTTCTCATTAAGGCTGTTGCCCAAGATATAATCACTGCTTCTCAAATGGTCAGCAATGACCATGTGTTCACTATGAAGAGAAAAATATTCCACCATGTCCACCCCTGTTTGTCTGTACTGGCATGCAAAGGTACAGTAGCTTCTAAAATCACAGTCAACAAGCATTGTGAGACCTCAAGCTAGCTGGAACACATGAAACAATTGCTACACTCCATACACTTTTCCCTTTTGTAGTTAGAACATTACCTAGATAGGGCAAATGAAATGCAGTTTTAGAAGGGTAAGATAGCAAAGCTATCGTACGGTAAAGATAGCAACAGCTATCAAGATTTAATATGTCAGTGTCTTCTAGGTAGCAAGACTGAAAGCTTCTTTGCAAGTTATATGACTAGTAAGAACATTGCACACACAGTAACCACTTTTTAAAATGACCACAAGTCATTGTTCTTAAATTATGTATAGATAGACTGGGCTTACATTGCTGTAAATAATTATTTATTTCTGCTTATTTGTTTATAACCATATGTATTAGATGGTTTATAAAAGCCACCCTTCACACATCACATCATGCTCTAAAATATGGTTGATGAACTGTTGTGGCTAGAAGCACAGAATGTACTGAGCCAAAATGTAATTTGTTTGGTTTTGCCATACGGTAGTGTGTGGTGGAAAGCCAGCCACAATATGATGGCAAAAAGAAAAGTGTTCATTCACTCTTTATCATGTGTATTATGGGAAATTTCCACATAACAATGCCTGAAATCTTGCTCTTCTTTATTAGGAATAGTTAGATAATTAAGGATTCCACCAATGTGTTATATAGAGGGAAGAGGGAAAAATATATATGGGAAATAAATGGTGTCTTTCATTTGTTTGCAAAACAAATACAGACTTAGAGAAAGGTCTATCGCTTTATATAACCATGTTCATTTTTCAGTATGGCTAAGGACTGGATTATTTCTTCTCCAATTTACTTCTTATGACAGCTTCTTACTGATTCTCTTGAAGGTTACATCACCAACTGTAGAAATCTGAAAGAATTAATAAAGCAAACATTTTGTTGAAACCACAGGGGAATATCTATATCTATATCTATATCTATCTACATCTATTAGCATCCTTTTACCCTGACATGTACAGCTGAAGGCTCTTTCTTCTTCTGCAACTACTAATGATCTAGGAATTCTGCATTAGAGCTTTATGGATGTCCAAAATTCATACCAAATTCATCCGTAAGGCATTTCAGAACAGCCAATTTCAAAATTGTCCATTGCTTTACCTTAGTCCATATGGGTATCCATATTTAAACAATGTAAAAGCTGCTAATTTCCTTGAATTCCTGGTTATAAAAAAGAGGATTTGTGGAACTCCAGGCCAAGACTTTATAAAGGTTCTTAAGAAGCTGGCTATTAAAAATGCAAGCAATTTTTACTGAAAACACTATCTTGCCAGAAATAACTTATTGTTGAACCCTAGCTCTTTTCTATGAATTTTCCTGCATTGCATATATGCTACGATTGCCTACAGTTCAGCAGGAACATGAAGACCCTGCCTTGTCACAGTTCCATACACAGTACCTGTGAATTATTGATAGCTGCCTCAAAGCAACTGGGCCCTTCCTTGACATTCCTTCTTCAGGTGAACTGGGATGTGGATGTTCAGGGGCCAAAAGAGACCAAGCTCCAACATCTTTAATGCAACTATGAGGAACTTCTAGTTAGCTACATTTGGAGGGCTACATTTCCCAGGATATATTAGCTGTCCTGGCTGGAGTTGCTGGGAATCTAGTGAAGTAACAACTGGAAAGCCACCTTTTCTACTGCCCTGCTTTAATAGTTCCACAGAACATGAGTTGGGAAGAACATCAAGTGCCATGTTTTAACCCTGTTCATAGCAATCATTTTAAATAGTTTTTTTTTCAATGTTTTATTTATTCACATTTTGCATTTTCATATTCCTATCTTCAGCAGGTGGTAGATGACTTTGGCTACACTAGCTTCCTGGAAGGACGCTATCGCAATTTTTTTTTAAAAAAAATCTGCATACCCAGCATGTACTTTACCACCAAGCCTTAGCCTTCCCCACTCACCCCTTGTGCTTGGATTTATTGATCCATTTACTGCAAATAGATTGAGCAAATTATTGATTAGTAGCTACTATTGTCTAAAGTTGTGCAGTGCTTCAGATTTAAAGTCAAAAAGGTTCTCCAGCACTGAGAACAAAGCTTTTAACTTCTTTTCCTGGGATCGGGGAGGGGTGTGTGTGTGTGCAGCCACAGAGGGCAGCCACAATTCCCTGGTAAAGGTGTGGCTGCCTTAAGGAGTTGCAGAGAGGTGCTCACATCCCTGCACAAAGGAGAATTTTACCTTGGAATCAGAAGTGCTGCACAGCCCTATTACTTCTTCCAGCAACATTAATATTGAGTTAGTTTTCATGTTAGTATATTTCTGTCTAGTCTTTTAGACATCACATATTCCATCTCCAAAGAGTTGTTTTCAGAGATTTACCTCAATAAGTTTATCCCCAGCAATCTCTGCAGTATAATGATAGTTTGGAAAGTCAGAAATCACTTTGCCATCTTCCTTTCTAAGTATTGCCTGTAACAGATTGGCATGTGTTAGTTGTCATATTGACTGGAGCTCATTAACAATAGCGTATAGATGGAAGTCTTCTTGGGCAGGATGAATCTTCTCTGGGACTGAAAATAGTTATCCTTGCGAAGTATAAGTCAGAAACAATTCTAAATGATAGCTAGAAATAATCTAGTAAGCACTTAGCACTTGTTCAGGCAGTTGCTGGCTCTTATTATAGCATGAGATGACTAGTCCACAACCATGTTCAAGTTCCAATAACAAAAATACAATCCTAGTGCACTATTTAATACGTAAGCTGAGATGAGTAGTAGAAGGTTGCTTCTTCTAGCTTAAAAAGGGGGGTGGGTGGTTACATTAGCTGAATATACTAAATAACATTTAAGGCAGGATCTGCCCCCAAAGAAGTTCAGTCAGCAATGGTATGCTGGAGATGGCTCATACCAGCTTGCAAGAACTGATTGTTACATTTTCTGGAATTTTGCAAGCTGGCTGACCCACAACACCTAGCATTCCAATCAGCTCTTTGATAGCTAGCAGGGCAGCAGTAATGGAGCCAGCAAACCCAGTTGTTATATATTTATCAGCACACCACTTCAGTCAGGTGGCTCCGAGAGTGAGAACATTGTGGCATCTATTGACCTCTTCAGGTGTCTGCAGGCACATCCCATCTCCCTAGCACCTGGGTACTGGTTTCTAAGGCCACTTTACTTGGGACAATAAGATTCACTAATGCCTATTCTTAGACTATCCTGTACGGACTGCCCCATTTGCTGGCATGATGCCTATGATAGAATATGGATTGGCAGTGGGGGGTTGCCGACATTATGCTGGTATCTTTTTCTGCTGGCCAAAGGATCCATGGATAGGATTTTGACATGGCCATGATAAAGAGCCTGCTGTCAGTAGGATCTGAAGTAATTACTTGGGTGGGTGGATTAAAAAAATCTAAGCTCAAACATACATGATGCCAAATCTGGAACCCTAACAATTGTTGCTCGTGTTCCAATGTTCCTAAACACGTAATATCAGGACCAGGAGCATCGTGGAAAAGGGCTGTCAGAACAAGGGGCATGGTGCCAAACATTTATTTACCTTGAATTTTTTGCCTCCTACTGTCTCCATCTCTGATTCCTTGCCAAGAACAAACTTATTAGTCAAGGTATGTCCTCCTGGATAAATCTGGGACCAGGTGAATTCATCATTATTCTGAATTATTTCAGAAATTATCTTGAAATTTCTTCCTTTCTCAATTGCATCATCAGGAAGACCTAACAGAGTGGGAATAAGAATCAATTTTTCATCAACATTGTACCTGTTGGATTGCTTATCAGAGTCCATAAAAGTAGTGCTGTTTAATCACTTTCCTTTTTCCCTAGAAAGTTATGGGGGGGGGTTGTCTTGAGTTCACATTCAAATCTATGTACAAATATTAAGGAAAAACCACCTTCCGTATGTGGGAAAACGTTTGTCCCTAAAAGTATTGCTTTGGGTAGAGTCAACTTGTTATATTTCTTGGTTATAAATGTATAAAAAAGGAACTGTCCAATCAGTAGCCACAGTACATACATGCAGCCTTTCCTGTCTACAGATGAAAGCTGTTTCATAACTGAGTCTTAAAATTTATCTGAGAAACAAGATAGTGCAAGTTTTTGAATTACAAAAATTTGAATTACAAAAAACAAACAAACCTGTGTCAAACAAAATCGTATAGCCACTGTAGAATTTCTACAGTATTAACGTGTATTCTGTCCTCCCACCAAAAAAATACTGTGAAACTCTGAAAGTTTGCACCCTATTTTACCAGAAGACCCTAGGTAAAGTTAGTACAAAGATAGTGCTTTTCTCTTGAAATGTATAGGGCAAGAAAGAGAAAAAATATATATACACACCTAGGCGCTTCATAAAGTTGTCATAATTTTCTTCATTTTCCACTTCATATTTTCCAGTGAAACTCATCTTCTGTGGGATGCCAATGAAAAACTTGCAGATGAAGGTCTTAGTCGTGATGAATCTGGCTTGGTCCAGGAATGTAAAACTCCAGTTTATATAAGGCTTTATTAGCTCAGATTACCCATCTAAGCACACCACAGCTCTCCTCCATACAGTCAAAAAAGGAAGTTAACTCTTTTAATGACAGGAGTGCAATTTTGCAGGAATCACTAACCCCGGTGTTATTGACCTTGTAAAAAGGTTCATTCTGACAGGTCTGTATGTTAGAAATATGGAATGTTCTTGAACTGTATCCAAAGTGATAATGGGTTTTTTATTCACTATTATACTTGTTTGAAAAACAGAAATGATACCTTGGGCAATTATGAGAGACATTTTACAGTGCTATATTAATCGTTGCCCCCAGTTTTGTTTTGTTTTTAACCATTTTTTTCTGTACTTTTCAGAAACCTTCTAAACAATCCTTTTTAGTTTAGGGGGGGAAATCTATCCAAACTAAAAAGTTCTAGAATGTATAATCTTTGTTTGTGGGGAAAGTGCTCTGACCTTCTGGAAATCATGGTCATCCCTTTCTACATATTTTGCACCTTGTCCAAACACTTTTTTTTCAAATGGGAGATAATCATAACTGTATACAATCTTCCTCCAGATATCGTTATGGCAAACATGGGTATATCAATATTACCATTACATGGTCATTCCTTGATTATTATTCTTTTTTTAACCACTGAATCTACCATTAGCAGATCCCATAGCCATAGGTCCTGGGAGGGGAAGCCAAATGATTTTCAGACATTGACCAGCCTTCGGGATCAGGGAGTGTCCGTCACCACTCGCTTTGCTTGAAGATACCTGCATTTTGCACTGACTAAAAGCCCTTGGCTTAACTGAATTGTGTAGAGAAGTTGGCTTGCTGAGCAATGCAGTGTCAAAGTCCATGGAGCAATTGTATCCTGTCACAGATTTCAACGAATAAGAGTTAATACACGAGCACCCACCTACCTACCCATCCTCAAGTCAACAGAAAACTATATGGGCAGGAAATCTGTTGCCCCCATTCCCTATCCTTCCTCTGTTGTGTCTGTTCTGACTCACTGCTCAATGATACCCTTCTCATTTGCATGTACAGCACATGCTAGGAAAATGGATCTTCCATCTCTGATGTCTCCTTTTTTGTTTATTAAACCACACTGCTTTAATGCAACAAAGAAAAACAAGTCATGACAAAACAAAGGAATGGGGGAAAACACAGAAAACAAAACAAGAACTAACTGAATAAAATAGAATATAATCATACTGTATATGTTTCAGAAGTAATGCAGCTGAGGTTTTAAACAAAAAAATCTTGACCACATGAGGTCACATTGAGTCTTTCCACTGTGGTGGTAAAGAGGTAATTGAAAGGCTGAGTGTACACAATTTCATCAAGGTAATCTTTGGTATCAGCAGGATAAATCTCATTCCAAGAACAAACACAAAACAACTGTTCTTACAACCATTCAAGCATGGTGGAACCAAAGCTCTTCACAGATAAATTCCAAATTTGGGGACTACAACTGAACAAGATACTGTCATTTTAAAATCTTAACACCTCCAAAAACCTTATTCACAATATTAAGAATACTCAACCAATATGGAATAATCAGAGGACATGACAAATGCACGTTTGTTAACATGCCTTCAATTTATTGCATCTCCAACACAGGAAAAGTAAATAACCAACTTTTTTAAAACATTTGCTGAGGAATTCAATAGACCAGTAAGGTAATTTTTTTAATGAATTAATGGCATCTTACAAGCCCAAGAAATATTAAATGTTTTAAACTTGCTGACTTGTTAGAACTAGAAACTCTAATCCTCTGTTCCAAATATATATTTGTTTTTGTAAAGTTCTTCAATTGTCAATAAAACTAAATAGTTGGTTTTGCCTTTAAAAATACTATCTAATATACTCAAAATCATCGGTGTCCCCTAGGTCACCTATGCATCTGACCCAAATTAAGAACGTAACAAATGTTTGAATTGAATAGATTGCCATTCAGTAGATTTAGGTGGATTATACTCTTTTTAAAACCTCTCAGAAGTTTTCCAAATATCATTAATAATAAGATGGTCTAGGCTACCATCAACCAATCTTCACAAGAAAAAAACTTCACCCACCATTTTCAAAGAATAAAACTCTCTTGAGAACAAAAGTCAAACTTTAATTTCTTTCCCAATAATTTCCAAAGATGCCTAGCTACCTTTATTACTGGGCATACAATAAGGCTTCAACTTCAGTTACAGCCAAGTACTTCCCAAGACTTCAAGTATTCCAAATAATGACTGTCTAGTTGTAACCATAGTGCTACTCATTCTACCTCATTTTCATTCACTAAAAAATACAAAACAGAATATGTAGGTCCAGTGGTACAGCTGAAAGTCTGGATAATTAACCCCGACCCCACCCCACCCTTCCTTGTTAATATGGGATGTGCAGCTTGAAGAGAGAAAACCTTGGAGTCTGACCATGACATTAAAAAAGTAATCATTAACTTATCTGCCCATCCATCTGTCTGTCTATCTGAGAGCCAGTTTGATATAGTGGTTAAAGGTGCTGGGTTAGAGGTCAAGCACTGAGCTAGAAACTGGGTGACCGTGAGTTCTAGTCCCACCTTAGGCACAAAGCCAGCTGGGTGACCTTGGGCCAGTCACTCTCTCTCAACTCTAGAAAGGAGGCAAGGGCAAGCCACTTCTGAAAATCTTGCCAAAAAACCTGCAGGGACTCGTCCAAGCAGTTGCCAGGAGTCAACATTCACTCAAAGGCACCAAAAATTAATTAATTAATTATATATGACACACACACACACATTTGTGTGTGTGTGTGTGTGTATAAAATAAAATAAAATCATGGGGTTATTTTTATTTTCACAACATTTATTAATATTTCACAACCATTTGTTAGTATTGTTATTAATCTGTGGTATACCATTTAACATTTTGACTTCTACTGACGCATCTTTCTAGGAATAACTGTCCTCAGATGTTTAGGAGAACCCAAACAGTAAACAAAGCCCCTTTTTTATACATGACTATACGATAGAAACCACATTCTGCCTCTTCTGCATATCCCCAGCCAGTAGGGGCAACATCTGCCAGTCTTATTGCTGCAGCAGGAATGGGGCAGGTCTGGCCACGGGAGTCTTTCTCCATCATCTCTTGCTCCTTCCAGTGCCCTCCCTCCTTCACCCCATTTTGTCGTAACCCAAGCTGAAGAAAGGTTATTTTGCTGGTAGCAAACATAAGCAGTGACAGCATTCATGCAAGACCACTGATTACATTCCATGTACAAAAATAACCTCATTAGTGGCTTCTCATATTTTCTTCTTTCAAGAAGATCTGCTTTTCTGAAGACCCTGTATGACATTCACCCTCCCCATGTAAAAGACGAAAAGTGCTAGGTCAAAATGACCAACAAGTTAGCTGTGAACAAAAGTGCTTTCATGATGTGCTGTAAATACGTCACAAATGCATGGAGTATTTGCTGGAAACAAAACAAGGTTAATTTTACTCCCAAAGAATAGCCTGCAAACAGGATGGTTGAAAGGGAGTTGAATGGTCAGGAATTGCAAACAGTGAAAGCAAGCGACTGAAATGGAGGCCCAGGAGAGAGACGTCACTGTCATCCCTTCACTGAGGGAGGCACTGAGAGGAAGATCCTAGTCCTGCCTTCCTTCTTCACACGTAAAGATGAGGGTCTGCAGACCTTCACTCCTTCCATTAAGGCATGGATAAACCTATTTCCCTCTTGTAAGAAATGACAGTACAATACCCCAGGGATCTCTTCACAAGTGTTCATCCCAATTTACATGGAGTAAACAGATTCTTCTCCAACTTACTGGGAAGTAACAGCCATTTAGCTTACCAAGATATACTATAAAATAAGTCTGTAGTGTGTGTATGTGCTATATGTACTTGTATGTATTTTTGTGCTCAAAAATAGTCTCTGTGTGACAGAATAGTTTGTGTGTGCATACATGCTGAGGGGGGATTGATTTATGTTACAAACAGGGTACCTTATCTGACAGACTATTAATTTCAATCAGTGATCATTAATTTAAGTAATTTTACTGTTCTGGCCTGGTTCTACCTTTTCCGGCATTGTGCACATATACTGTGCGTATACAAGTGAGGTTTATGCAGACATTTGATAATGAGGATTGAGATCTCCTGGACTGGTTTCAGTGGGAATGGGCAACTCCAGGTGGCAATGTGGGGAAGCTGGGTGGTGTACAATATTTCTGTAAGTGTATATAGCCTTTTTTCTGTCTAAAGTTTTGGGGGGAATTGTCTTAAATTCAGGGTTATTTTTCTTGCAGGTATTATGGGTAAGTATCTCTGGGTTTCATTAGTCATACTTAATCAGAGCTTGGAATGTTTCATATAATTGTTAAAAATTAACAGCATTGGGAAAAAGCTGACTCATTTCATTAAAACAATCTAAACTCTCCCTCTACTATAAATAAGAAATTACAGTTACCTTAACCATCTTTTATTGTCATGATTATTATTTTATGACTTTATAATCTCTTCACAAGTTTAGTTTCTCATGCAGAAGAATGGAATTTAACTGTAATACTCTTACCCATAAAACTTTGGTAATTTCTGAAAGTTTACCATCTTTAGAATGGCAGAGATCTTCTGGTAATAAAATACTCTGTTTCCTCAATAGATAGCAACGAACTTGGTACATGATGCCAGATAAATTATCTGGAATGTATAAAGGCATTCCAAATGTATGTTGGAAATGTGAACAACATGAAGGGACATTTTATCATGCTCGGTGGACATTTAAAAAAGCTAAACATTTTAGATTCAAATACACACATTGATACAGAGGATTTTAAAGATTAATCTTCAGTTGAAGCCAGAACTTTTCCTTTTAGGACTGATGGATACACAGTTAAAAAAGAGTTATGGAAGATTATTTCAATATATGATTACTGCCACATCTTTAGATGCACAAAGATTCAGCATTACCCACCAGGGAGGAATGGTTGGTGAAATTGACAGAACTTGCTGAGATGGCCAAACTGACTTCTTTGATTACAGAAAGGTCATTATTGACATTCATCAGTGACTGGAAACCTGTTATGGATGTTTTGCGTAAAAAAGAAAATGATTTTGTGACTTATGGTTTTGATGATTAGAAAGAATAGTTTATAGAAAGAAGGGAATTATGATGTAATCTTAGAGAGAGAGGTTTGATTAGAATTGTATGTACAACTGCCAAGAAGAAAATTGGAAGTCACTTCTATATCTATATCTATATCTATATCTATATCTATATCTATATCTATA